AAGCCGTTGAGGAGGAGCTGCGCGTGGAGCTGGTCGAGCGCGCGGAGGGAGGCGGTGGCGCCCGGGCGGCGGCGGGCGTGCTGCGCGAGGAGGTAGAGGCGCTGCTGCAGCGCGCGGGAGTAGGGGATGTGAGGGGGCAGGTTGGGTGGGAGAGGAGGAGGAGGACGACGACGACGACGAGGGGCTTGGCTAGACATGGTCGGCTGGCTTTGGCTCCGCCTCTGCGTCTGACTTGGCTTGGTGGTGTGTTTTCTGCGCGGGAATGGTTTTCTGCCGCACCGTCGATTTGCTTCCGATGGGGCGAAAATGGGTCGCGCCTCGCGCGGTTTGCAGATCGCAGCTCAACTGGTTTTGCAGCGAAAAACCCTCGCTCTGGTGTTGGAGCACATTGCTTCGTGTCCGGGGTGAGAAACCTTTGCAATGGTTTTTATTAGTCGGGCTCAACGGGGACCAACTTTCGTCTTATCTTGTTGAAAACATCGTTTATTGTTGTTGTGCTAACTTTTATTGGTTGAATTTCGGATGAAGATCCTTGTCCTTGTCATCTCTACGTGTACATGGCGACGAGGGCGTGTATTTCTCTCTCTTTGAGGCGTTACGAAAGAAGTAGACTTTGTCATTGGTGTTAATTTCATATCTTATAATGGTTCTATCACAGTCGTCTCAATCTTGTACTCAGCTTGGTGAAGATTTTGGCCTCATTTCCTAGCATCAATTTAAATTAAAAAAATGATTGTGTGTGTCGTATTGATGCACAGACCGAGGGTTTCAACCTTCTTTTCAAAAATAAAATTAGTGTCACAGCTTAAGCTTAGTGGTTGTTTGGTTAGGAGAATTAGTGTAAGGTTTTCAGAAGATAAGTTTGGGTCTGTCTAGGTCTCAGTCGACTGAGACTTCGCGAAGTCTCAGTCGAATGACATCATCCTACGCAGATTAGGCCCATCCTACCTTTCCTTCCTGTTGGGTTTCAATTTCCCCGTGATGGGCTTGGGGCGTGGGTTTGTTTGTTTGTCTTTTTTGTGTTGCCTGTTTGTTTGGCCCGTTTTACCTCCCTCCTTGTCCAGGCGCAGCAAAAAGACTTCACTCAAAAAAAAAAAAGCGTAGCAAAAAGACAGCAGAAAAATGTAAAGGCCCATTTTTGTAGCTAAACGACAGGAAAAACTTTCGTTCCTGTGCCAGTTCTTCGTTCCTTCTTTGTGACAACACCACCCAGGCAAAATCCTCAACCCGCTGCGTCCATGGATCCATCTACAGCTCCTCCCTTTTCATGTTCTTGTTCCCCTGTTAATTTTGGATCTAAAAAACTTGTGATTTCCTTCTTACTTCTCTTATTTTTTTTCCCAGCAATCTTGGAGCAGTATGGCACTTTCCTGATGGGCACACATGTTGGTCTCAGAGAAAAACTCATGGGAAAACTTCGTCTATCTCAGCATGTTGTTCAATCTCCCTGAAAAAAATTCAATTTTTTTTAGATATACCTGCATGTTGTTCATTCTGTCTCAGCATGCTGCACATGTAGTAGTTGATTAACAGATGGTAAATTCCATGATGGTGTTTTTTCCATATGTTCAGTCAAACTACTACAAAAGCTCCAGGAAAAAAAGCACACAGTAGAAACAGATATGGCTGAAAGTTATGATCTATTCCTTGGATTCCCAGATTTACACTTTGGGGTGGAGGACTGTCTATCTTGAATGCACTACTTTGACCAAAAAAATATACTTAGCATGGTGAAACACTTGTTCTGGAAAGGGAAAATTTGAATCTTTCATTCCTTGCTTGCCAAAAAATTATAGAATGAAGAAGAAAAAAAAAAGATGAATCTTTCTGTCCTTGACACATAATAAAACTGATGAATGTAGTTGTTTGTATAATGCAAAATAAAAAAGATATCTCATGCATTCAGATTGACACATACTGTTTCCTGCATTTTGTGTAGCATCCGAAGAATACTTTGGCACAAAATATTCCAAACAGTCGTGCTCCAACTCCGCATAGTTTGCTGACCCCAATTCAGGTGAGATGGAAAAAAATGAAAAAAAAATTCCTTAGATTGTAATTACATATCCTTGTGGGTGACAACAAAAATGAAAAGGGCACAAAAGTTAAATAACAGTAAACAGACGAAAACATGATTTTGTGTTTGCAGCAGCCATACCTTGGTATCCCACATGTGCAACTGCAGCAAGCTGGGATGCATCTAGCATTCCAACCATCTTCAATTACATTAGCACCGCATGTACTAGCTTTTCATGGCAAAAAAAGGAAAGGCTGTCCCCTCTATAAGTTCTCTGCTTTGATGAATAATGTGGAACTCCGTTGCACACCCTTGTAACTATGGAAAAAAAGAGAGAAAGAAACAAACTTAAATTATTATCAAATTCTAACATACAGAAAGTAAAAATGGAGGAAATGAATTTCCTTGGAGGTAGCAACATGAGTTACACACAGTTGTTCATGGCTGCTAGTCAAGAGGTACTATAAAGTGCCTTTTTTTTTATTGATGTTGAGATGTATAAGGGGAAAACATGGGGAAAATGACAAAAAGGAAAATGGAAATTACGTTACATGTTTTGTGGTGACAGACTAGAATTGGTGGATTCCAACATTTTGGTCAGCAACAAGTTTCTGGTGGCAGGGGGTTTTCGTACAAATAAAATTGACTCGTTTACATATGTACATATTCCCCCCAGTCCTTTGCCCTATATGTGACAATAAAAATGTCCTCATTTCTTATTCTTCTTATTACTAT